CACACACACACACACACACACACACACACAGTCAAAGCCGAGTGGACAGCGCTCTAGAGTCATAGTCTTTAAAACCCGGATTTATTTCCCGGTCGCGGTAATAACAAATGACCCCAGTTTCTTTCACCGGATGTCTCTATTCACCTAGCCGTAAACAGGTACCTGAGAGTCAAGACAACTGCTACGGACTGCTTCCTGGGGATGTGTGTTTATGTGAGAGAGAGAAATATGTAGTAGATATGACTAATACTCTTGAAAACTGAGAGAAAGGCGGAGTCCAAGAGCAAACAGCTCGATTCTGCAGGCACAAGTAGTCAATTAATCTCTATCTATTTACGGGCTATTCATGCCCGTGCCACCTCTTGGATGGCTTAAAACTTCATCCGTATCTATAAAAGAGAATGTCTGTCTGTCCAATGTTGCAGGCCCTTAAATTTGTGGGGGTACTAGTCTGTGGTATGGAACGGACATAGGCTGCGCGGGGTAGGCCTATGTCCAATAAAGCCATATTATTGGCACACTAAGATCAAGTATTCATAGTCAATTGTAAGATATAGATTTTGATGCCCAGGAGGTTTTCCTGGTCCATTTACCATAGAATGTTGATAGACCTATGCAGTAGTTTTGTTCCTGCCTAATAATGTACTTTCTGAGAAAAAGGGGAAGAGGGGGTGGAGAGAGAGGGTAGGGTGGATGGGGGGGGGGAGAGGAGAGGGGTATGCGAGGGGGATGGACCAAGGGGATAGGAACAGAGGGAGGACGCAAGGATTGATTAAGAGACCGCCTGCTGTTGGCCCACTACGTCTAAATAATACATTTTCTGAGAGAATGGGGAGGAGGGAAAGGAACGAAGGAGTGGTGGAGGGGTTAAGGTAGGATATATATATATATATATATATATATATATATATATATATATATATATATATATATATATATATATATATATATATATATATATATATATATATGTTGTTGAATAGGACCGAAAGGGTAAGATTAATGATTCTAACACGAATCTTCTCAATATTTCTTACATTTTTCTTCACTGTCGGGGGTAATTGAAATATTAACTCTGGAAAGTTCATTTTCTCATTTTTTTTTTTTTTTTTTATGGTCTGACGCCTAAAAGCGTTTCTCAAGGGCTTCTTACCTTTTCAAAGATATCAACTATCACAGATACCAAAGATCTCAGTATATTGGCAAGACAACAACGTCTCTTTCTAGGCGATTAACAATGCATAAACAACAGGGTTCGATCAAGGAGCATATAATTTCTTTTCACAACCAGACCATCACTAGAGAAATCTTAACAAGCAACACAGAAATCATCGATAGATACAGCGATAGCAGGAGACTCGACATCAGCGAGGCACTACACATCAAAAAGTCAACACCAGCAATCAACAGCAAATTAACGCATAACTATATTCTACCCACTTCAAGACCCCGAACCAACATAGAAACAGCAAGAGAAAATATGAGCCAATAGGCCTTCTGTAGTTACTTTCATTCTTATGTTTTCATATCCAATTTACACCCATTGATTCGTGTTCTGTCACTTCACCCAAAAACATTTGTGTCATATCACCTCACCCAAAACAAATAAAAGCCTGATATACGATATGTGTAAACTTGTCTTTGAAAATGTAAGAAGCCCTTGCGAAACGCTTTTAGACGTCAGATCAAAAATAAAAATTCAGAAAATGAACTTTAGAGAGTTAATATTTCAATTTCCCCTGACAGTGAAGAAAAACGTAAGAAATATTGAGAAGATTCGTGTTAGAATCATTATTCTTACCCTTTCGGTCATATTCAACCACATATGTTTACAAGAAACACTGCTACCAAAATATACTAATATATATATCATATATATATATATCATATATATTTTAATCAAGACCCTGTTGACGTCAAGACCCCATAATACAACGGGGTAATACAAGGCCTCGTTGACGTCAAATATGGCTGTTCGTGAATCAAGGACGGTTCACGAGAGGGAGCTGAAGTCTGATATCGTTCTCTGGTTTATACGGGTAAAAAGATAACAGTTGACGTCAGATATCGCTCGCTGAGCGTCAGGACCGTATACACGAGGCGTTATATAGGAGACTGACATCACCCTATTAAATTCCCCCAGATAAACTATTCACATTTCTCCTATTCAGCGAGGAACGGAGTTTTCGTAATAGGATTCTCAGAATTCGCACTCAAAACCCCCTTTTCGAAATATGAACGAACTGCTGCTGAGAATAGTGAGGCTCCCTCGGGATGACAGTGAGGCCCTTCGGATGACTGTGAGGCCCTCCGGATGATAGTGAGACCTCTCTTAGGATAATGGAGGTGTAGGTGACCCGCAAGAGGTATATTGAGCCGTCTTCACTTTGTGATTATTTTGGAGTTTTTTCAAGGTTATGATGTGGTGGATGGCTTAACATTCTCACTATTATACGAGGTCTGGTTGAGGGTGTGGCTGCGTTAGCCATATTATGTCTGTGGCTCATTCAACCCCTTCACCTCACACTATATATCCCCCCTCCCTCACACCATCACACTACCTCCCTCACACCATCATCCCCTCCTTCACACCATCACACTACCTCCCACACACCATCATCCCCTCCTTCACACCATCACACTACCTCCCTCACACCATCATCCCCTCCCTCACACCATCACATCCCCTCCCTCACACCATCACACCATTTCCATTCCTTCCGTATGAAGTAAATTAATATAACTATTTGCACGCTCCCTCTACCGGTGTCCCATCCAGAGAAAAGATGACGATGGCTGCCATTACCGGTCGTGTTTAACCTGTCACTCTAATGCACTCTATATTTCACCCTGTCACTCTAGTGCACTCTATATTTCACCCTGTCACTCTAGTGCACTCTATATTCCCTCCTTGTCACTCTAGGTGCACTCAATATTTCCCCTTGTCACTCTAGTGTACTCAATATTTCCCCTTGTCACTCTAATGCACTCTATATCCCCCCCTTGTCACTCAAGTGCACTCAATATTTCCCCCTTGTCACTCAAGTGCACTCAATATTTCCACTGTCATTTTAATGACGACATATATTTTTTCACCTACCTAATATACCTAGTGTATTTAAAAAAATACACTATATTTTACTACATACATTACATTAAAATACATTTTAGTGTATTTTAAAATATTTTAGTGAAAATACCTTATGTATTGTCTCACTGCAGTGAGACAATACACCGAGTGTTGTGCTTCAGTCAATAAACCTATGAGTCAATTCCTACACTTAAGTGTATCAGAACACGGTCCCTTAAGTGCATCAGAACACGGTCCCTTAAGTGCATCAGAACACGGTCCCTTAAGTGTATCAGAACACGGACACTTAAACTGGGCATCAAGATACCGCAGCATTAGAGAGGAAAGAAAACCCTAAAGACTAATCATAATCTAATCTTAGCTGTTGTCCAGAGCCGGTCCACCAATCCCTAAGCCAGGCAAGGTCTACTTAACTGCCCAATTTAACGTCACACTCTGTGTCCAGCTCTCCCATTGGCTGACTGGCTGGCTGGCTGGCTGGCGTCGTTGTTACTCGAGGCGCCCGCTGGTGAAACTGGGTAGTTACGGTGGTTTGTAAGAAATTAGCGTGTGTAAAGTGGGGGGGGGGAGGGAATAGGGGAGGAAGATCCGTTTCCACGACAATTGCCTATGTCCCGGGTTGGGTGAACAGAGGCATCAGGTGAAGGAAAACGCGCCCAACTCATTTCCTATGCATAAAAAAATATCCAATAATTTTTCACGAAGACAAATCCGTCTTAAACAAACAAACATTTTCCATTTTACACAAATTTTTTACATTTAATTTTTTTAAATGTAAAAAATTTGTGAAAATTTTTTTACATTTAATTTTTTTAAATTTAAAAAAATTGTGTAAAATGGAAAACTTTTGTATAAATGTTTGTTTAAGACGGATTTGTCTTCGTGAAAAATTATTGGATATTTTTTTCCCCAATTTCTTTTTTTCCCCAATTTCCCATTGGAAATATTTCCAATTTCAAAGAACCCGAAATAAAAACAAGTTCAAATAAACCAGCATACACACTACGCCCCCCCCCCCTCCGATCAGTTTTAATAAACCACGTTTATAGAGACACGCAGAGTAATTCCAAACTGTTTACGATGCTTTATATCTGATCTAGAGAACAATTACCTAGAGATATTTATGGATTTGAATTGCTAATACATCAGGGGGAAGCAACCCCATCGTTCCTGCAACCAATTTTAAGGCAAAAAAAAATAATAATAAATTGTGTTATAATTAAACGCAGATAAGTTATGGGTAAAGGGGGAGATTCTTTTTCCATTTTTATGGGGTGAATGGGGGGGGGGGATGGGGGGGAGGGGATGTATTGTAGATAATTACATCTGAAGGAGTCATAAAGTTTGGGAATGTATTTGAGAAGAGGGGGAAGATGTGGCTCAAGATAGTATAAGTGAACGTGAGGTGGGATTGAACCCCGAATTTGACTCAAATGAACGTGGGGTGGATTTCAACCCCGGGTTTGTGTGGTGGGGATTAGTACGTGTGTAAGTGGGTGGCGTTCATCCCCCCCCTACCCCCCTCACCACAGATTACGAGGGATTAATGGGGGGGGGATTAACGACAGTATAAGGTGGGAAACCTCAGTGGCATAATGTTATCTTTAATTATTTTCATATTTCTATGCATTGTGTTGATAACAAAATTAATATAAGAATCTGCAGGGTAGGAAAATAATAGCTAGAAATTAAGGGGAAAAATTAAATTTGTAACTCGATAAAGATAATAAAAAATAATTCAAAATATAAATTAGGGATGAAATGTGATATTGTTATGACCAAGTAATTCCGAATACAAATGGTAATAATTACAGTTATTATTAATTACAGTTAATACTGTTATTTTCAGTACATGTAATCTTGGACAATTGTAATTCTCAAGGCATGTAATAACCCTCGACACAATGTAATGGTCCCGGACACAAGTACCAACCCCGGACACAAGTACCAACCCCGGACACAAGTACCAACCCCGGACACAAGTACCAACCCCGGACACAAGTACCAACCCCGGACACAAGTACCAACCCCGGACACAAGTACCAACCCCGGACACAAGTACCAACCCCGGACACAAGTACCAACCCCGGACACAAGTACCAACCCCGGACACAAGTACCAACCCTGGACACAAGTACCAACCCCGGACACAAGTACCAACCCCGGACACAAGTACCAACCCCGGACACAAGTACCAACCCCGGACACAAGTACCAACCCCGGACACAAGTACCAACCCCGGACACAAGTACCAACCTCGGACACAAGTACCAACCCCGGACACAAGTACCAACCTCGGACACAAGTACAACCTCGGACACAAGTACCAACCCCGGACACAAGTACCAACCTCGGACACAAGTACCAACCCCGGACACAAGTACCAACCTCGGACACAAGTACCACCTCGGACACAAGTACCAACCCGGACACAAGTACCAACCTCGGACACAAGTACCAACCCCGGACACAAGTACCACCTCGGACACAAGTACCAACCCCGGACACAAGTACCAACCTCGGACACAAGTACCAACCTCGGACACAAGTACCAACCTCGGACACAAGTACCAACCTCGGACACAAGTACCAACCCCGGACACAAGTA